ACACACACACACACACACACAGACAGACAGACAGACAGACAGACAGACAGACAGACAGACAGACAGACAGACAGACAGACAGACAGACAGACAGACAGACAGACAGACAGACAGACAGACAGACAGACAGACAGACAGACAGACAGACAGACAGACAGACAGACAGACAGACAGACAGACAGACAGACAGACAGACAGACAGACAGACAGACAGACAGGCAGGCAGGCAGGCAGGCAGGCAGGCAGGCAGGCAGGCAGCCAGACAGACAGACAGACAGACAGACAGACAGACAGACAGACAGACAGACAGACAGACAGACAGACAGACAGACAGACAGACAGACAGACAGACAGACAGACAGACAGACAGACAGACAGACAGACAGACAGACAGATGGACGGACGGACAGACCTACAGACAGACAGACATCTCTTTCACTGCCTTTCTCAAAGTTTCTCCCATAGTTTATTTCACACTTTCTCTTTGTATATTACCCCCTCTCCCTCTCCCACTCTCTAAATTGTCATATTGCTATCAATTTTTCCATCTCTTCTTCTGTCCCTCCTGCCATTCGCTTTCCCCTCCTCCTCCTCTCTCAAGCAGCACCTACCCACGCCGAGTTGATATTTGTAGACGAGTCCAGGCGAGTGTCTCAAACAACTAAATTTCACATTTCTGCAACAACTTTAAACTGTCGAGGCTGAGCTCACTTGTTCTTGCGTGTTCTAATATAAAGTGAGCAGCAGAAATATAACCCCCAGTTCTACAATTAGAGTTCACGCTTCATGCTAACCAACTTAACTGTAAGCAATTTTGGCAGACGTATTAGAGATTCCCTCCATTATCAGCTATTTGGGGTTAAATAGTGATGAATTCTGGGAGCTGCATGCAACGTTAGACGTCGTGCTATGGAGAAATCGTCTCATTGCCATGCATCATTTCCTTCGCATTTCTTTTAAAGGAATTTAAACATAAGTAAAAAAAAAAAAAAATCATTCAACCGTTTTACAAGCAAGTAAGACTCAACTAAATATCCCGCTGCCGGGGCAGATTTAGTGCAGCAGAAGCTTCTTTTCGCTCGAGCGTTACACATTTTCCCCCCAAGCAGTATGCTTTCAGAATATATGCATCTCGCCAGTTGGTTTCAATGTTAAGCCCAATTTGCTCCTGCAAATTTAAAACAACATATCAGTGGGACATGTCTCGAGCTTTTGCAATGACCGGAATCAACCAGTGAAAAGGAAAAAAAACTGAAATTTTGAAGTAATTTTAAATACAAATAAGTATATATTAATAATTCAAATGTGTGAAACAAACTTACTTTTTGTTGTAGTGTAATTTCATTAATTTGATTCCAGTAAAACTGATGTATAATAAATGTAATCGAATGTATTTGAGCTAATGCAATATACATTTGTGAATTTAAAATTTTAAATAGTCGTTTTTACTGCAGTGGCTTGCATGCATATCTACATCCACAAGTGGGATGCGATTCTTAACACATCTTGTCATCCCTTTGAGGGATGCAATTTGTCGTTATTTGAAGCCCTACTTTGGCTCTTGTCAGGGGCCGCAATATAGCCCGGCCATAAATATGGTCTAATGACCGGACGCGGTTTCTGGGACCTCTCCACGGATGATCCTCATCCACATATTGGCACTTTGTTTCATCGGGTTTTTATCGCTTGTGTGATGTCCTGGTGGGGTAAAAGAAGATAGATAGATTCGATTCTTTATTACTTTGAAGCCCCACCCTGACTGTTGCTAGGGTCTGCAGTGCAACCTAACGGTTGAACGCGGTTTGCGGGACCTCTTCATGTGTAATCTATATCCGAATGGTGGCACTTTTTGTCACTGGTTAATTATCGTTCTGTGTGATATCCTGGTCGGGTAAAATTTACTTACGTAGCAGGCTTTTAGCCTTATAATCCTGCCCCCCCCCCCCCCATGAAATATAGTGCGCAATTTGTCGTTATTTTGAAGCCCCATCCTGGCTCCTGCTGGGGGCCCTAATATAACCCTACATATGGGTTGAACGGGGTTTCTATGAGGTCTCTATAGGTGATCCTGAATAGTGGTACTTTGTGTCACCGGGTATTTATCGCTCAGTTTTTAAAAGGAACCCAAGATCTTCGATCCTACAGGCAGAGTCTAGCTATAATAATAATAATGATAATAATAATAGTAGTAGTAATAATAATAATAATAATAATCATTAAAGTATTAATAATAATAATATGCTGCCTTTGTGGCTAAGTTGTTAGGTCTTTTAATTTCACTCTGAAGACCTTGATTTTGTTTCACGAATGCGTCTTTTAATTTACAAGTGCAATTTTTTTTTCAAGATCCCTCGGGTTCGTTGCTGAAGCTATGAAATTAGTGCTTTATGCTATATTTTCAGTACTTATTTGTCGAGAATGACGAATCATATGGGATAAAACTAGGTGCAGTGAAGTCAATCTGCTTGACTATAAACCTTTAAATGTTAAATCGTTTTCTTAGATACTCTAGGTTACAATAGAAAGGCAGGAGAAAGAAAGCTACTCAGAAGTCTTGTCTTTGTCTAAAGAGGCCTCCCCTGGAAGACAAGACCAGCTGTTGGTGGTTACCGCGGCCGGGGTTAATGGTGTATATAGCGTGAAATGATACCTAACAGTTGAACTCAGTCTCACAGCTGAGGTTAATTGATTTCCCAGACACCGGCAGCATTGCTACAAACAGCCCAGGAAATATTATATCCAGACGAGCAGTTGAAATAGAAAAAAAAATTAAGCGCTTGGATTTTATGTTATGGTTTTTATAGTTTATCGTCTTCGAGATAACAAACAGATTTGAAATTGATAATGTGGAGTGGGGTGGGGCGGGGAGGGGAGGTGGTGTTGATTAAGAAATGTTATCGATTTTCGGGCCGCGTTAGCACAGTTGATAGGAGACTCGCTTTCCAAATCCAGCTAGCTGAAGCCCACGGCCAGTGTTCGACACTGGGCTGTTCTCGGAGTTTACACAGCCTCTAGGAAAGAAAACCAGAGTTAACACTCTGGGGTTAATGGAGGAACGTCGCTGTAGCTACGGAGTTTCGTGCAGACGGCGACACAGGTGGCACTGGTACTGGTGGCAGAGCACTTATGGTTGATAACAGTGTGCAATGTCGCTGGTTCACATCTCCCGACTTTACCTTTACCTTTTTATCGATATTCATTATTACAAATAATGCAGGTGATTCAACCCTACCAGAAACTGAACAACGAGGACCAACACCTGGTGACACAAAGTGCCACCATACGGATGATGATCACTCGGGCACAAGTCCGAGAAACCCCCTTCAATCGTTAGGTCAAACTGGGCTCCCGACTTCAACCGGGGGGTGGGGGGGGGGGGGGGGGGGCTTAAAAAAACGAAAAATTGTGTCTTCAGTATATAAGAAACAATGTATTGCTTAATCTGTTGTCCGGTATATTTCATTCTAACTCTTCATGCGTATTATTAAAATTTGCATCAACGTTTAAGGAAACATACAAAATAAATTCTTTCAACTGAAACACACATTTCGCAATATCACTTCAGGAATGAGTGAAATAAAAGCCAAATAGGACCTCACACTGAGCCATTACCATTCTCTTACTTATATGTTGATGTTGCCCATTGGTGATGCATTTGATCGGATATGCCTGCCAGTAAAAGGTTCAACATATTCTATTTTAATCATAACCAGCAGCCGATCAATGAAATATTTCTGCTATTTGTATTGTGTGAGACATACAAATTGCAAAGCGCTGACCTTTAACACAGTATGTCCATCTTTAAAGCAATGTGTCCGTCTTTAACACACTGTGTCCGACTTGAAAGCAATTTGTCCGTCTTTAAAGCAGTGTGTTCGTATTTAAAGCACTGTGTCCGTCTTTAAAGCAGTGTGTCCGTCTTTAACACAGTGTGTCCGTCTTTAACACAGTGTGTCCTACTTTAAAGCAATTTGTCCGTCTTTAAACCAGTGTGTTCGTATTTAAAGCACTGTGTCCGACTTTAAAGCAGTGTGTCCGTCTTTAACACACTGTGTCCGACTTGAAAGCAATGTGTCCGTCTTTAACACACTGTGTCCGACTTGAAAGCAATTTGTCCGTCTTTAAAGCAGTGTGTTCGTATTTAAAGCACTGTGTCCGACTTTAAAGCAGTGTGTCCGTCTTTAAAGCAGTTTCTCTATTTTTAATACAGTGTGTCCATCTTTAAAGCTTTGTATCCATCTTTAAAGCAATGTATCCATCTTTAAAGCTTTGTATCCATCTTTAAAGCAATGTATCCATCTTTAAAGCAATGTGTCCATCTTTAAAGCAATGTGTCTGTCTTTAAAGTGTCCGACTTTAAAGCAGTGTGTCCGTCTTTAACACAGTGTGTCCGTCTTTAACACAGTGTGTCCGTCTTTAACACAGTGTGTCCGTCTTTAACACAGTGTGTCCGTCTTTAACACAGTGTGTCCGTCTTTAACACAGTGTGTCCGTCTTTAACACAGTGTGTCCGTCTTTAACACAGTGTGTCCGTCTTTAAAGCAGTATGTCTGTCTTTGAAGCAGTGTGTCCTCAAAGTGATTTCCGCAGATCAGTTCCAGTCACTGGAAATTTTTTGGTTGTTTGTCAAAATATTTTACGAAGTCGTAAAACGGCTACATTGAAAACCAAAGATAAAAATCGAATGGATGTTGTTGCAGCGCTTAGCCTTTCATAAATAACGCTCCAGGTACGCAAATAAAATGTTCTAACATTTAATCAGCTGCACATAAGTTAAAATATTGTAACTGTATAATGTTAAATTACAATTTTTTTTGAAGCCATATTTCTCTGTTTGTTTCTTTATTTGCCTTCAACAGGGTTGCCAAATATTTATCCTATTTTCTTAGTCCGCGGGTATACAATTGTTGAAGAACAAATCCTTTTCCTTGTTCCAGTATATTCAGTGATACCCCAGTTTGTGGAATGATTCCAATGTATTCTGTACCAATCATCTTCAGGAACACCAGTCAACCGTATCCCGATCATGGCCAAGCAGACCCTGGACCTGTACGAGCTGTTTCGCCTGGTAGTTTCCAAAGGGGGTCTGGTCGAGGTCATCAACAAGAAGCTCTGGCGGGAGATCACCAAGGGACTCAACTTGCCGTCATCTATAACCAGCGCGGCTTTCACACTCCGAACTCAGTAAGTATAGTTTGAATAGTCAGCTGTGTATCTGGTCAGATTTTTGTAATTGATCGGGGTTCCTAGGTCGATTCAGACTAACATGGGTACCAAGAAATGTCACAGAAAGTTAAAAGCGGTGGGCGTGGTGTTTACCATATCAACAGTGTAATGGAAAACTGATATATCTAAACAAACATCAACATGCTACGAAAGGTGGAGACAGGCATGCTCCATGCAAAGTGACAAGCATCGCTTCAGAGGATATTTTCTTCAGGGGATGCTGGTATGTTGGAAAACCAGCAAGCAGATAGACTGGCCGGCTCTGCACTACATAGTGGTGAATTGATGTGTAACAAGCCAGAGTTTATGAGGGTCTTTTGGGAGCGAGTGAACACGGAGGCACAAATAGATCATTACGATCTGAGGAGAATTGCGCTGCAGAAGATCTGGCCGACAACCGACACACAATGGAAAAGCGAGACGAATGTACAATTAGACAGTTACTGGTGCCATGTGAATTAAAACACTTCGATAGCTGCTGAAGAAGGGGACGGGCGATTATGGGAGTTTCCCGAGTGCCATTATGTCGATTCTCAATTCAACATTCAATATATCTAAATAAAATGGGTCTAGCTCCAAACGCTCGATGTGCCGTTAATTTGCAAGCCGACAGGACAAATCCCATGTACCCTTTTCAGCCTTAGAAAAGTTATAATTGGGGCAATCATACCGACGATGCAAGCCAGAGTGGCTTGCTGTAAGTCCTGTACAAGTAAAGAGTTTATGTAATTGTGTAACCCTTACTGTCCTTCTCAGTCTAAAAGGTTTGGCTTACCAACCACTTGGCGTTATTATTTTCCTTCTGTCTTCTAAAGACAGTGTCTATGTTTGAAATTGCTAGCATGGCTTTGGTAAGAATATTGCGTTGAACAGTGTTCTTTTGGTGATCGTATTCACAGACTGGCATTTCAAAATTGGTGCCATTTGGTCCAAAACCTAATTTAATTTATTGCATCTTTGTTGGATTTCTTTATATTTTTTTCCTTCCGTCTTCTGAACAAATGCTCCCCAAATTTCTTAAATTCTTTCCCTGCTTTAACTGGTATTCATCAGTTTTAATATTGGTTCTTTCATTTCTGGAGAACGTCATAACTTTTGTTTTGTCTACGTTCTCTCTCTCTCTCTCTCTCTCTCTCTCTCTCTCTCTCTCTCTCTCTCTCTCTCTCTCTCTCTCTCTCTCTCTCTCTCTCTCTCTCTCTCTTGATGTACCCCACCAGGACATCACACAAGCGATAAACACTTGGTGACACGAAGTGTCATCATTCGGATGAAAATCCCCCGTGGAGAGATCCCAGAAATCCCTTCCAGGCGTTAGGCCATATTTAAGATCCGGAAAAATCCAGGGTGGGGCTTCAAATAACGTAAAATTGCATCCCACATGGTGACGACTGTTGACGAACTCAGGGTCTAATAATATATTCTTGTAGCTGTACTAAGGTTGTGCAGTGATACAAACAATATAGACACTAAACAAACAAACCAAAAGAAAATGGTGTCCTTTCTCCTCTTGTTTATACAATTAAACTGTGCATGCACTCTGTAATCTGAAATATATATCTCTTCTTTATTCTCTCCCCCGTTTTGCCTGTCAACGTCTTAGAAAACTAATGTAACTCAATGTTTATTGGCCAAAACATATCTCTGTCTGGGGGTTGAAGGTCAGATCCGCTCACAAATACAGGGAGATAACTGAGAAACATTTAGCCGCTGTATTAACATGTGTTGCTCACGCTGTAAAAACAGGAAATCTCATTTACTGTTCAAAGATCTTTACCTCATTTCCTTCCTGAAATAATAACAATTTTAAACAAAATGTACAACACGGATCCAATTTTCATATATCATTTTTGTAATTATAACTTTAACTTATTTTAGCTCTTCAAAAAAACGAACTCTAGATTTCATTCTCTCGTTTACTAAGCTCTGGTTGATTACAAGTGTAACTCAGACCCAGTGAAAGATGCAGTATGTTTACTTTTTTAAAACCCCACCCCGGCTGTCAACAGAGGTTCTAATATAACCTAATGGTTAAACGGGGTATCTGGGATTTCTGCAGTGAAGGGTTCTCATACCAGTGGTGGCACCTTGGGTCACTGGTTGTTCATCCCTCATTGTGAGGCCCTGGTGGGGTTTAACGTCACTCACTCCTCGCTGTGGTTTGTTTCCCGTTGTGCCTCTGCGTTGAGTTACTAAACCCAAATATTATTTCATACGATCAAAACGTATTGACCCAGTAAAATCGGGTAAAATCCTTAGAAGTAAAAGCGGGCAGTGTGAGGTTGAGCAAATTACCCACCTAATGCCGATTGGTCTATAAAATATAGGTCTAACCCTGTATGCCTAATAAGCATAAAGACGTGAGAAAGGGTTATTTACTTTACCTTTTACTAAACAGTATTACCAGCGACCCATCCTAAAACGGGTACCAGTTGATGTAAAGGGAAGTAAAGGCGGTCGGGTCACACTGTCGACATTGTACCGAATGTTCTATAAAACTAGGTGCCTGGCATCATATTTCCGGATGCATCACTCGCTTTGAAAAGAATCCTTGTCTCTTTCTTTCTTTTTTTTTTATGTCATGTTTTCTGTGTTTCTTTCTTCTTTCTTTCTTTCTTTCTTTATCTGTGAAAAAAAAAACATGGTAGCACAGTGAGTGAACGGTCGCCTATTGACCTGCAGATCCTGGGTTCGAATACGCACCAGTGCATGTCTTTTTCTCTGATACGGGCTCCAAGCCTTAGATGCGCGTCAATAAATGTCTATGGAAGTAGGATCACCTAAACAAAGAAATCACTGATTGGCGGGGGGAGGGGGGTGGAGAGGAGGTGGGACTCAGTGCCCTTGCACATTCTCTGAGTGTTGGCGGTAGAAAAGGGGTGAGGGGGAGATCAAGGAGTGTAAGGCTTAAGTAAGTGTTTACATCTGATATTGATAATTTTTTGAATAGGTGTAGAATATCAAATAAATGTAATAATATATTTTAAATAATGGGGTATTATAACAACACACTGAACAAGATTACTTCTATACATGCTTGGAAAAGGAGAGGGGAGGGTGGAAAGGGGGGTGGGGTGTTAGTCTACTTACTAATTAATTGGGGTGATGGGGTTGGAGCAGAAAGCCCTCATTATTTTTTTTTAACATTGGAATTATGACAATGCTTTCACAACCCCTATCCCACTGACACCATCGAAGAAGTGGTACCTAGGTCAAAATGTGAACATTGTTCAGTCTTCTCTTCTGTGAAAAACTTGGAATTTCTTAGGAGTTGTGAATGTGGCCGTCGCACTATAGTTAACTGCTGCAACCTTACCTGGTATTTTGTTGCACCAGTGTTACAAACTTGATGACAGAGAAGAAGAAGAAAAAAAGGTTAAACATTCACAAACCTACCGTATACACCTTTCTTGGGTTAATCGCTTGTTACTAAGTGATCTTTAACCCCTCGTTTCCGGAGCTGTGTTACAGCATTAAAACATCATTAATCTCAACTCATTCCTAGCATCATTACTAAAAATAAAAAATAAAAAGTACAACGGCAAAGGATGTCGTTACTTCGTTTTTTTCCTGTCAAGAAGGGAGACAAAATGTCTATATTTTTTTAGTTGCCTGTCATAATAAGTTGACAAACTGCGACGTTTGAGCAAAAATATACTAATATATGCATGGTTAATTTACTGTGATGGTTTTATAATGAACTGAAAATGTTATGGAAAAAAAAAGTTAATATTTTCTCTAACGTTGGAGTATGGAAGGAACAGGAGTCGTGTTGCTGTGGTGCAGTAGCTAGAATGTTTAACTGCCGGTCGATTGTCACAGATTCAAATTCCATTCAAGATGGCCTTTAAAAATTGGCCTAGGCTCCACGCTGCACCCAGCCTAAAAATCAGGAAATGTTCTCAGGAGTATAATTGATCGGAGTTTTATTCACCATTCTAGCAACCATGTGTTGATTCGTCAGTGAGCTTATTTAGCCAATGAGACCGCACGAGATGCAGCCTTTACTTGCCTAGTGTCAAGTTGTAAGGGAAACGTCACAGTACCTAATGCTCCAAGGAGTATATAAATCTAACCTTTGTGTAAACTGAATCACATAGCACTGACGATCACAATGCAATTGCAGACACTCTCCCGATCCTACTTTCTTTCACCATACCTACATAATATGGGGTGGGGGGCAGTTTTAGCGGTGAAGGGTTAGCCCTATAGCTAGCTGTAGGCAAAATTACTTGCATAAACTTCAGAGGAAAAAAAAATACATGAAACAATCGACAACAGAGAAAAATCAAGGGCTAGGTATTCAATCGGAAACCATACTTATGGTGACATAGCTTTTTTTTCAATTAAATTTCTATGTTTATATGCTAAGCAGGTAACTTATATGCCTCTCCGATTATTCCTTATGTTGCAGTGTATCAATAAGCATCTTGCTCTTTTGCCTCCCCCACCCCATCCCCATGCACACACATACACAATGACCCCCCCCCCCCTTTTTTTTCCCCGAATTTCGTCTTCTTTTTTATTTTGTGTTGTTTGTAAGAATACGTCAGTGGTTACTACGCCTGTATGTTTTTTATTTTAATTTTACACTATCATAGCCTCACAAACATCAACGGGAAGCCGATATCAGTCAAGTAAACAGCAATACCCAAAAATGACAAGACGTAAAACAAGAATCTGCCAGTTAGGCTAACAGAACCCAAATAATTAAACATCTTATAATTCCTTCCCTCCGACCAGTATCATGGCTCACATTGCTCTGTTCCAAAACAAAACTTGAAGACCCTGGCCACATCATAAATGTTATGCATACTGACAATTTGATATGAAAGCAAATTAGCAGGGGGAAAGCTAAATCCTCACTGAAAATAAAACGATAGCTCCGACACTATTGCTTTACGACTGTGCTGCAAGACTTAATGGGATCGTAAATGTTGTTTATGCTTCAGAAATGATACCAAGAGGTCGTGATGCCGTTAGTAATTTATGTCAGCGAGGAATTGTGGGTAGTGTTTATTTCCAGGTGCAAGATGCCTGTGGGGATGTTGTTGACAGAATAATGTAGCTGGAGTGTAATAAGTGGCTACATATGTATGTCATGGTATCGTTAACACTGGTGTGTGTGTGTGTGTGTGTGTGTGTGTGTGTGTGTTTTTACAAATGTCTGTTACTATGTAAACAAGATGGGACAGAATACACAGCAATAGGAAGACAGTGAAAGGGTACAAACTCAGGCAACATACAAATAGATCATATGAAAATCTAAAGAACTGAACGATACAAATCGTTGGGTACAAACTTCAATGGCTCCAGCATATTAGGAGAGGAATACAAGCTAGAATACTTTTTTTTTTAGTGTAGCATAGGCCCTCAACCAGCTGATGTCAAGTCGTCCTATCATTTTCTATTGCATGCAGCTCACACCTTGTCTTCTTTATCTTGTTTCTTCTCTTGCTAGCTCCCTTCCGCATGTGTCTTTGCCTTTCGCATTCGTATTTTAATATCTCTATCAGTTTCCCAATCTGCATCTTCCTTACTGCCCAGATAAATGTATAAGTCCATATCTTGAAATGGGATATAATTAAAAGAAATAAGATTACGGTTCGCCTGGTTTATTGCCATTTTCTGTGGCTTTCTCTTGTAGATTTTTAGACCTAATTGTTGTGGTTTGCATAAAATAAGCTTAAAATACCTTGCATCGCATTCCGAGAGTGGGAGAGAGGAGAAACATCATCAAGCTGTCTTTCTAGAGATCCATTTAATTCCATTTCTGGTGGTAGCTGTTGTTTTCCTTATAGCCCTGCCTATTGCCAGTATAAATAGAAAATTTAGAATACATTCTGGAAATAAAGTTTACTAGACCTTACAACGGTAAAAGGGAGTAGACCACGAGGCAGACGAAGAAAACTGTGGAAAGAAAATATGCAGCCAGACCCACAAACACTTGGAGTCAGCAAGTGGAAGAAGAAGCCCCATCACAAAGATGATCAGAGACAGGTGATATCTGCAGCAATGGACTTCACGGGCTAGGAATGCTGAAGAAAATAAAAGTGTTGTAATAAATACAGTTGTAGTTATTATAAAAGCAGGTGTGTGTGTGTACAGTTAATGTCTTCTTCGTCTTCTTTCGCCTTCATTTTACCGTTAGTAGGAGTGTTTTGTAGGCCGTAGTCCCTTCAGTGGAGACTGATAGCAGTGTATTCTTTGTTGTCTTCTGGAACATTACGTGATGAGGTCGAAATCTTTTCCATGGTGTGACTCTCATTCTATTTTTCAATATCTCGCCCTCCCTACTCGGGATTACAGATTTCCACTCAGGGATTTACTATTTAGATGGATTTATTTAATTAAGCATACATTTTTTTAAACCTGTTCAACAGTATAATTCAATTATGTGTTGGTACCTTCCGGAATAGAAAATTTAATATTGTCCGTCCAAAAGCACAGTGAAGATCTAAATCTTTTCTTGAATTTAAAGAAAACGAAAAAAATGTGCACAGATAAAACTGACTGCAACCCAAAAATAACAATACATGGTGAGGAAATTGAAAATGCCACAAACTTTGAATAACTAGGCTCGATAATAAACAGCAATGGAGACTGTTTGACAGAAATTAAAAGGAGGATGGCCATAGCAATGCAAAAGATTGAACAGCCTTAAAAGTCTATGGTTAAGCAAGGAGATCAAAATTAGAATTTTGAGAGCATGCATCTTTCCTGAGGCTACATACGGATGTGAGTCGTGGACTATCTGCCAGTCCTTAAGAAAGAGAATAGGAACTTTTGAGCTGAAATGCTATAGAAAGATTATCAGAATAACTTGAACAAAGAAGAGAAGAAACACTGACATCTTGAAAAGTCTGAACATAAAGGAAGATTGGCTAATAAACAGCATCCTTTCTCTGAAGCTGAAATAGTTTGGTCATATCCAGCGCCACGACGCATTGGGGAAAAAATATAGCAGAAGGCATGGTACCAGGAAGGAGGGGCAGGGACTGACCGACACGAAGATGGCCACAGGATATAGGTGACTCCTTGAGTATGAAAGCACATGAGGCGGGAGAACTGGAGAGAGACCGGGTTTCTTTCAGGCAGACTGTGAAGAGAGCGACGTTCTGCAAAGTACCTGTTACATGATGATGATGACCCTCCGGTTACAAAGTCATGTACTGCTTAGATTTATTTTTTTAATCAAGCTAAACTAGCACCACCTGCCGTAAGCCACGAGGAAAGTTTTCAGTACAGTCTTACATCTTTTAGGGCCTAAAGTCACTTGCGTATCCTTTACAGGACGTTGCAGAACCAATCCCAGCTTTTCTTTTTTGGCTGTTGTGGTTTTTGTAGGAAAATTTATGTCCAGTAGTTTGCCACTGCTTTTTGGACGGACGGTTCTTGATACCACTCTCGGAACCAACTCAGGGCGCAATGCCCACAGCTTGAATCGAACCTGGCACCCTAGCATTACAAAGCGCGTTCGCAACGCCTAAACCACAGACGCCGACTTTTAGGGCTGCTAAAGTCACAAGTGCAATTAATATATTACACATGTATTTCATTGTATCGTAACAAAGCAGGTATATTTAGGTATGAATCTTCTTGGTTCGTTCGTTATTTTATTTTGATTTGGAACTAATTGTTCTGTGCTCATCAGCTGTAGAGCTGCAATATTTAGGTCGTTCTGCCCACTCATCCAGCTGCTTCGGGCATATTTCGACCGGGTTCGATCTTCTCATATAGTTTTTTAAAACACTGCTTAGCCTCGCTGCTGTGTCGTCACTTTCGTCTATTCACCACAGGTTGTGCATCTACGTGAACTTTTTAATGACCTGAACTTCCAGGTCAACATAGCCTATGAGCACCAGGAAATACTGTGGACATAAAAGGTAGTCGTTGAATGGGTTTTTTAAAAAGTATGAGACTTCATACATATGATCAAAACGACTCATGACTTGGAAACTGGTTCTTCATTAACTATAGTGTAATCATATGCTGACGAAAGCTATCTAGACACAACGTTCAATTTGTTACTCGTGATTGTATTTTATGAAAAGTTACTTTACGTTGGTATATATTCTCTTCATGACTCTTATATAACAGTGTATCGTATTATATCCTCAGGTACATGAAATACCTATACCCATACGAGTGCGAGAAGCTCAAGTTAAGCAACCCCTCGGAGCTGCAGGCGGCTATAGATGGGAATCGCCGTGAGGGCCGGCGCTCTAGTTACGGGTACGACATGTCCCCTGGTCCTACCCTCGTCCCTCCCAGTCACCACCTGAACGGCAGTCTGATGAACGGGAAACTTGGCAGGTGTTCACCAAGTGAGTACTCAATGGGTCAAACACGTGAATATTTAATGGCTTAGTCGTGCAATAGCGATGGACAAATACGCTTTTTTAACCACGTATTATCATCATCATCATTATCATCATCATCGGCATCATGATCATCATTATCATCATCATCATTATGTTTAGTATTATTATTATCATCCATGTGTTGTTGTCTTTCATTGTTTTAATAGTCTATTCTCTTCGTCTTCTACGCTGCTGTTTAAATAGCGCCGTGATGTTGTTTACAGCTAGCTTTCTGCGCTTTTCTGTCCAACACACCGGACTACAGAAAGTCCTCTGTTGGTGGCATTGTACGACATGCTTGACAGGGGCGGTGAGTCTCCTACCCTAGCCCCCGACCCCTACCCCAATGAAGCTACATAATCCACATGGAAAATAATCACTGCTTGTGAATTCCAGTGCCAATACATTCTAGCTATAACACTTTCCAGTTTTCTTAAAATATGTTCAATCCAGCGCCAGCGTCTTTCCTCATCTATTGGTTCGTCAAAATTGGTTTAGTTCTCTCTAAAAACTCATTTTCAGTATTCTGGAATATCACTTAATTCTTTTTTTTTTTTTAATACTATACTTTGTACCATCACTAATATCATACCTACTATTATATATTTCTGAAATAAATGTATATTGTTAATTATTAGCATATTATAAGACACCTGATTCTTTTCCGTAGTGTCCTTTGATGGAGATCGACCCGACATAAGACACCTGACTGGGGGCGGTGGTCCTGGTCTCACACTAAATCCGGCTCTGATGCCACTCAGCCACCACATCTACAGCAGCATCATCTCTGAAAAGCTCCGACACACCTCTCCTAGTAAGTCCACGATAGCTTCTGATATAAGACACATACCGAGTTAAGGAAAGAATGCGCTGTGAGGTAGCGTCTATACTCTAAACCTGCGGATCCGAAGGTCGTGTCTTCAGGTCATGATAGAGCTGGGAACATTTTTTTTATATATATACATACTCAATGGCGACGTAGGGGTTTTGCCACATACTGAAGATGACGTGGAGATGTCATACACTCAATGGTGACGTAGAAATCTTGCCATACACTCAATGGTGACGTGGAAATCTTGCCATACACTCAATGGTGACGTAGAAATCTTGCCAAACACTCAATGGTGACGTGGAAATCTTGCCATACACTCAATGTTGACATGGAAATCTTGCCACACACTCAATGTTGACATGGAAATCTTGCCACACACTCAATGTTGACGTGGAAATCTTGCCATACACTCAAAGGTGACGTGGAAATCTTGCCATACACTCAATGTTGACGTGAAAATATTGCCATACACTCAATGGTGACGTGAAAATCTTGTCATACACTCAATGGTGACGTGGAAATCTTGCCATACACTCAGTGGGGCAAGGGGCACGTGGGAATCTTTTCATACACTCAAGAGGTCGTAGGGCTCTTGTCATACACTCAAGGGTGGGGTGGTGGTGGGCGGGGGGTTGGAGGTCTTGTCATACACTCAAGGGTGGGGGGGGTGTGGAGGTCTTGTCATACACTTAGGTGGGGGGGGGGTCAGGTGGGGGGTCTTTTTATGCACTTATGAGGGGCACGGTGGAGACCACTGCTTTAGATGTAACTCTGCCACTTTGAAAAACAAATTAAATTTTTAGGCAGCCTCCCCCCTCCCCCTCCATTTTTTAAAGTGACCTTTATGGCATCTGCCCTAACTGCTATACCATAGGTACGATACTGGTCCCGAAATAATTGTGTTATACGGTTTCTGGGATATGTATCCATCGAATATCATTCTTGAGATGTTAATGCTAAAGACTGCGATCCTAGAAGAGGTGGGGGCCCTAAATAGTATCTGCCCCTGTTGTTGTTCTCAGGACCGGTGTGGAGTAAATGATACATCAAGCAAATGGTGCTAGACTCATATTTTGTTTATATCAAGTAAGAAAGTAACCCATACTGGGATACACTTATGTTCTGTAAACCACGCAGTACTTGGTGGGTGATGTGGTCAGCACCTTTACTTTCTAGCACTTTACCTGGTATCTATTTAAGGCTAATCTGTTTATGTATCATTTGAGAATCGATTGATGAACATCACGCCAGCATCTTTACTTCTGAGATCCCAATTTTAAGCTGGATCTGGAGCCAAAGTAGAAGTTTTGTGTGCTTAGTATGTAAATTTATAAAATGTTTCCCTTCTTTCTAGTAAATGACGAAAGTCTAAACCAAACACCTCTCCCTGCCCACCACCGCGGGCTGACAGAAAGAGATGCTTTAGCCATGGAAGCTGCATCCAGAGCCATGGAAGAAGCTACGAGAAAGATGGAACATGTAACACGAGTTTCCCTGGACGATGGTCCGCCCCCTAGGAAACGGCTTCTTACAGACGCCGATAGGATGATACCTACAAGTCTCAACAGCGCTCATTTTAAAATTACTAGTCGAAGTAAGTGGTTTTAATTTTTATGTTGTGTGTAACAAGGATATCGTCAGTCTTCTTATTCTTTTTCGCATTCACCGATTGTAAACGCTAGCGGAAAGTTCTGGTTGTTCGCCCACTTCTGGACTGTAGATGCTGGTTGAACCCCAGGAACCGTCTGGTTTCGAATACCAGTCGTGGGCTGCAGCGACTTGCAGCTGGATTTGAAAGCGAGTCTCCTTTCGACTAGACAACGCGGCCCCGACAGACTAGGTTCTTAGACATAGTTGGCAGCTAGTCTAGGTCGGTGTTCGAAACCAGGCGGTTCCCGGGATTCACCCGGCCTCTAGGAAATGGATACCAGAGTTGACACTCTGGGGTAAATGGAGGAATGTCGCCGTAGCTACGGAGTTACGTGCGGACGGCGACACAATTAGACAGTTTCTTATCAGCTGTCCGTACTGGTGGCAGAGCGCTTATGGTTTTTGACTGTGGTTCAGATCTCACGACTTTACCTCTACCTTTACCTAGGAGGAAAACAACATGCAGACAGAGCGAGCACTGCTCGTCTAAGCCGTCAGCGTTCGTGAATTCCATGTCTGCCTATACTACAGTGTCGGCTCTGTGGCTAGGTCGATGCGAACGCTATGTAATGCCGGGATGCCGGGTTCGATCCCAGCTGCGGGCCATGCGCCTTGTGTTGGTTTCGACAGTGGTATCAAGAAAGCCGACCGTCCAGTAAGCAAAGGCAAACTACTGGACGTAAATTTGCCTTAAAAACACACACAACAGCCAGGGGCTGTTGGGGTGGGCTCTTCAACGTCCTATAAAGGATACGCATCTAACCTAAACCACAGTGTGAAAATAGCGTCTATAAATATGGAAAGGCACCAAAAATGTGCGATCTACCTCATTAGAATACTGTTTATCTCAGTTGGCTCAATTTGTCTCCTACTAGGAGATTGTCACACAGAGCACAAACTTCATAGCTCCAACACCGACCCTAGAGATCACTGAAACACCCGTACTCGCGAACTGAACGACAGAGTCTGATATCAAACCCAGTTTTAAGATCCAAGCCACTGAACCATTTCGCCTCGGAGAATCCACAGTGATTTGTGTTTGCTTTTTTTGTTCTGCTGTGTACACCCTGACGTTGTTATTCGAAGTTCATTAATATCTGCGATTTTTGACCCGGAAGATATTAGTTTACATGGGAAAACTGTCTGGGTCAAGAGGTTTAACGTTACAGCTGCGGTAGACAATCGATATAACCGCTGAAATAGTTTGGAACAAAGGAAGTTTTTTAAAATACTTAGTCCTTGTGTGTGTGTGTGTGTGCACATGCATGCGTGCGTGAGTGTGTGTGCCTGCGTGCATGTGTGCGCGCGTGTGTGTGTGTGTGTGAAACATCTTGGTCACACGTGACTGAGTTTATGGTATAACAGTAGTCGGTACTGCCTGTTCTAAGTTAACTCCAAATGGTGGCCGCGTATACAAAACATGACAGCTCACGTTGTGCCAGTCTTTGTGTCGGGCGTACGTTGTATTGTGGGGAGGGAGGATCATAATTAACTTTATCCCAGGAAAAAGAAATGCAATCTGAAAACTTAATATTTTGCTAGGGCATACCAGGTACTCAACGTTACCTGGCAGCAGGTCTAGTAGAGAAGCTCTGACAGGCAGGTAGGCAGAGCACGGCTCTCTTGACCCGGCTGCTCCTGCACCACACTGTGTTCCAAATGTATCTGGTGTTATTTATTTCGGAAGTAAACAAGATAGCCCTATAGATGCATCATGCTGTATCGGCAGCACGTGGTCTCTAAATAAAATGGCCTATTGGGAAAAGGTCCTAATTCCTTGCACAATAATAATACGCAAGTATGGAAGACGTGAACGTGCCAGCAACAAGTAGTGTTTCAATTAACTAGACTCATTTTTAAAAACAAAATTGATTAATAAATGACTGGAACTGTTGTTCAATTAAAAATCAGAACAATTGATATGAATGTATTGACTGAAAAGGCAGTTTTAACACCAACAAGTTTAGTGGGATTGTATGTAATAATTGACTGGGACAGTCGTTAGAACTATAATTATTGCAGTGGGATTACATTAAATAACATGGGCAAGAATGTGTGAACGAGGAATTAAGTGTGGATCTGGATCTGGCAAGGAGGGGCGGATGAGAGGAAGAGATCGGAGTGTGTATAATCAGTGTGCTACGGGAACAGTTAGCATCGACACCTTACGTCATTTGCTGAGGGAGACGGAGCACCTATGGGTATGCCCGGTGTGCTAGGATGTCGATTTCTAAATCATTAAATCAGTAAATAATCACAGTGAGATAGCTAGTAACTATTGACAGGTACAGTAGTTTAAACTAAAATCAGTATAGAAGGATTTCATATTATCATTGGCTGGTACAATCGTTTAAACTATATAATTAATATAGTGTGATTACATGTAATAATTGACTGGTACAGTAGTTTAAACTATAATTATTATAGTTAGATTATATGTGACAATGGTTCGGGACAGTAGTTTAAACTATAATTTGTTTAGTAGGATTGTGTGTAATAATTGACTGGTACAGTAGTTTATACTATAATTAGTAAAGTGAGATTGTATGTAAAAATAGTTAGGAACAGTAGTTTACACTATAATTAGTTTACTGGGATTGTATGTAGTAATTGACTGCTGGCACGGTAGTTTAAACAACAATTAGTATAGTGAGATTGTTTGTGATAATGATTCGGGATATTAGTTTAAACTATAATTAGTAAAGTTGGATTGCATGTGATAATTGACTGGTACAGTAGTTTAAACAATAATTAGTATAGTGGGATCGTATGTGATAATGGTTCGAGAAAGTAGTTTAAATACTAACTTTTACAGCCAAATTACAAATAGCCTTATGATATCTGGCAGTTTTTTTCTTTTTTTTTTTCTTTGACATAGCATTAAATAGGCTCGAGGATAATATCTATCCATACCTCCCATGGAGTCGGCTCTGTGGCAAAGTCGATGCGAACGCTTCGTAATGCCGGGGTGCCGGGTTCGATCCCAGCTGCAAGACCTGCGCCTAGCGTTGACTTCGACAGTGGCATCAGTGGGCCGACCGTCCAGGGGCAATGGCAAACTACAAGACGTAAATTTGCCTAGAGAAACCACACAACAGCCACTGGTTGCTAGGGTTGGTTCTGCAACGTCCTGTAAAGGATACGCAACTAACCTAAACTCCCATAGATTAAAACTGGAACCAGACTATTTTGTTACAGCATTTGGTTTTATATGTGTAAATAAGGAGTTCACGAGTTCGAGTTTCCACTTCTTGTTGTCCAAAAGTTTGAATTAGTTAGTCTTGAAAAAAAAAAATATAATAATTGGTTGGGCTAAAATACATTTAACTCTGTTTTACCGATCAATTTAAATACGTTTGTTGATTATTCTAGCAACAGATCAAGCATTCTGAAGCCATTTTTGATTGGTCGGTGTAAACCTAATACTAAACC